ATTCTATTCTATTCTATTCTATTCTATTCTATTCTATTCTATTCTATTCTATTCTATTCTATTCTATTCTACAACTGTCTACTTCAACACTATATCCAACTTTATATGTTTTGGGCTTAAATTACATGAAGGATGATTGGGAATACATACATCTAGTTTTTTCTTAGATCATTTGCAGAATTTTTTAATAAGTATGTGGTATGCAATTTGTTATATAGAAATTGAAGAACAAATATGGATCTTATCAGAAAGCAAAGTAACCCAGCAAATATGTATTGTTTATTCAGAACATTAAGAGACTTACAAATCCATAGTGGCCTTTCTTTCCACAGTTGTAACAGTATGCTGAAGAAGGTTGCACAGAATAAGAGTCAGTTGTCTTGAGTGGTCCTGGTCTAGTCTGAAACAAAAAAATTGGCAGCAATGAAACTTAGTAAAATCCAATTAAAATGAACTAAATTAAAACAATACAGTTTCACCATCCAATCAATAGCAGTGGAATTACACTGGGGAAAAATACATTGAAGTTATATTATACATTAACTTAAAAGTGAAAGCAGAATTTCTGGGAGGAATGTGGGATAAAATATATGTATGGATCTAAAGATAGATAGCATATAAACACAAACATGATATCCAATATGACCATCATAGGAGTACAAATTAACTTAGTGACAGAAGCTGAAATGTTGTTTTAATATACATACATAGACCTATATATACTGTATCTAGCAATAGCACTTAGACTTATTATATATTACTTCACAGTGCTTTACAGCCCTCTCTAAGTGGTTTACAATGTCACTATATTGCCCCCAACAATCTGGGTCCTCATTTACTGACTTCAGAAGGGTGGAAGGCTGAGCCAACTTTGAACTGGTGAGAATCGAACAGCTGGCTTTGGCAGAATTAGCTACAATACTTCATTCTAACCACTGAGACACCACAGGTCTTATATCTGTATCTCTCTATATGTCTATATACATACAGACATGCATACAGACACACAGACAGACAGACATATCCACATATATACATGCACGCATACATACACACATAGAAATATAGCAAAATATGAGAAAAATAGAGAGCTAGTTTGGTCTAGTGGTTAAGGCACCATGCTAGAAACCAGGAGATTGTATGTTCTATTATCCCCTTAGACATGAAAGGGGTGACTTTAGCCAGTCACTTTCTCTTAGCCCAGCTTACTTCACAGGGCTGTGGTTGTGGGGAAAACAGGATGAGGAAGGAATATCAGATATTTTACTGCCTTGGTTATTTATAAGAATAACAAAGATTGGATAAAAACAATCTAAAAACCATACAGAACCATAGTATAACATTTGAGTGTAAAAATGTATTCCTCTTAGTTTCTGATTTTATAAATTGCCATAAGCCCAAAGTATGATATTACAAGGCTCCAGCTCCTGGTGATCAAGCCGCATTGCATGGACATCTAAGGCACAACTGCTGTCAATGTTTGTTTTCATTTTGTGGGGAGAAAAGTTTCCATTGGTCAGGATTTTCTAAAATTTCTTCAATAGAGAGCAAATATCAATTCAAAATATATGCGGAATGAGAATTTCTGACTGTCTCAAAAACAATATCCAGATTTCAGCAATTACACAAAATTGAAAACTCATTGACAAATGGTTGTAAATGGTTGATTTTTTTTAAGGCCTGGGCCAGAATATTCTACATAACAAAGGCCTCTACCCATCTCACCATCTGGCCTGGGAAGATTGCATCAGCCAGCACTCAGTTGAAGCCATGTGGTCCAGACAAAGTCTACAAAGTTAGCTAAGACTCCCCCACCCCTGAGAGTCTGACAGCCAATGGGATAATTTCTTACACAGGAACAGGAAACACTAAGGTGGGGCCCAACAGAGGATATATAATTAAGGGTCTCTTAGCATCTTGCCCTTCTTTCCCTTCACCCAACATCTTGAAGCATGTGATTGTCCTTTTCACTTTGGAGCTCCAAGTCATGTGGTCCTGTCCACCATTAAGCCATCTTTTCAAACAGCCTCCATGTTTCCAGGGTCTTTTTCCCCACTTGGAACTGAACCCAGAAGGATGTTTCTTCCAACAAAGGGGTCAAGACTCTGCAAAGTTTGAGAATTCCTGCTCCAAGTATCTAAATTTAGATTTAAGGCACAGATGAATTCTTGCCTTTATCTCCTTCAGATGTGGCAAGGAAGACCACTTCTAGCAATTTGGGAAACCTGACGGTCAAGAAGAAGAGCACTACCTACAGATAGGTTGAATTTTGTAGCATAAAAAGTCTTTTTAAAAACATCTTCATTAAAACACATTTTCACTGCACAATAGAAACTGAAGAAAGAAAATCTGAGTTTAGCTAACATTGCTTAAAACAAGTAGACAAAATTAAATCACTACAGTATTTTATATATCTCAAGGAGGAACAGAATTGCTGGCTTATCCTGGTGCTCTTACACAATCCTTGAAATGAATGGATAGAAAAATGTGAAAACTATAGGTAGACAGATTAATACCACTTTTATCTTGAATTTTTTAAATGTTAACTAAGGACTATATCCAAGTATGAATACATCCTAAAAATAATTTCAATCATACAATTAAAAACCTATTGTTTAATATCCATTTCTTAACAATTAATGTTAAGATGTGTGGAATCTTTCTGTTTCTGAATGTAATAATCACCATATTTGAACTATCTGAATAGACTTTCAGAGTTGCTTATTATAATTAACTGATAACAATGACTGGTGAAAATCACTTCCACCAAATATTAGTTTGGCACCCAGTAGTGCAGAATATACATGAGAACAAAAAGATTTTATGAGAACATTATGAAAAGTAGCTTTTTTCCATTTCAAATCTCACAAAATTCCTCAAGGAGTTTTGAGGCTGCAAGAAGGATGTTTTTTTATGACCTCAAAAAATGTCTGTCGGACACTTCCTTTTGTTTATGTAATTGAAAAGGTCAGATTTAAGGAGACAAATTGAGTACTTGCCATTCAGTTTAACTATGCATTACCCCCCTACAGCTGTCCAAAAGTCTAAAGAGGAAAAAGAACCTCATAATATGTTGTCAAGCTCACTATATTCTAATTATTTCAGGTTTTAAAAAGCATTTAAGGTTTCCGATCCAATAGGTAGAAAATGATAGCAGCAGCTCTGCTATGGGATTTTTTTTTTTTGTTAAAAACATTTAAATAATCTATATTTTGTAGAGTGATATTTTGAAGATTACTTCACTATCAATATATAGAAGTAATAACCCAGTAGATAGCATTACCTATAAAAGGTCCATCCCATCTGCTATTCTTCCTGAAAGCTTTTCATGCACCAGTAAACTCAGTAAATATCAGAAGATAAAGCATAAGCCAACCACGCCACGGATTTACTCCTAATGTCTCCTCAAAGTGCAGCCCCGATGCAACGATTACAAATGATTTTCTTCTAATGTCATTTTACATAACCCTTTTTTCTGCATGAGTAGTTAGTGCAGAATGAGTGAATGAATGAATGAATGCCATTAAAACAGTTAATCATTATCTGGGACACTGGCCTTCCTCCCTTCTCTGCAAGGAATCTCCATGACAAAGGCCAAGAGATCAAAATGCCAGGGCTGCCTTGCTGGCCTATTTCTAACAGTAATTTTTTATGCAAATGGCCCTGCTGGGCAGCTCCCTTGGTGACCTTGAGATGCCCTTATCTTAAACTGACTTTGATCCAATAAGGCCTTCTTTTTATGAAGCTCATTACCAGATATGTATCTGACTTAAATTTCACTAATTAAAAGATATTATTTATTCGCGGGTTCCTCACCCCCCCCCCATACTATCTTACAGCCCCCCTACTATCTTACAGCTACATATGCAGACAAAGGGGAGGAATTATAGTACGCTGTAAAATGGACAATTTCTTTTTTTCAAATTTCAGTTGAGAGAAATCAATCTGTGGTCTTATTTATCTTATTTGCACTCTGCTTTCACTCTGGATTCCTAAATATTATTTAGATATTCCCATTAAATATTTCTTTTAACTATTTAAATATCTATTTTGGTACAGCAGTGCTGGAGTTCCATGTACCCCTAAAGTATTCATTGAAAGAACACAATTTTGATTACTTTTTTTAAAAAAATATGCTACATTGCCTTGCACAACACAAGGATCAGTGAGTTTGCTTTGTGAAGTTTTCAGTATCCCCGCTGTTTCCAGCTTCCAAAAACTCCTAACTTACTGCCCTACAATATATATTGCAATATTACAAGATAGGCATACACTTTTTAAAATATAAATTCCTAAAACTCACTCCAAAAGTTATCCCACCACACAGGTATAAATGCAGTTCTACTCACTATGCTATCTTCAGTTCTTCAAAAAGTATTAAGAACAGTCCCCTATCCTACCCCACCCAGGGTCTTCCTAGAGTTTTGTCATTGACCCTTATGCAAACCTTGACAGTGAGCTCTAGTCCTGCCTTAGGCATGAAAGCCGGGTTGGATGAGCACTCTTTGTCAGTCAATTCCTGTCACCATCAATGGATCGGACACTTGTTGATTAAAAAAGATAGCACTTGCACTTGTGGAAAAACACTAGGAAGACCTGGGGATGGAGGGAGGAGACTGTTCTTCGGGTTTATGACAATTCGCCATGGCCAACTCATCACAGCCAACTTGCTGAATGACAAAAGTTACATTAATATCAAAGAAATGGTGGCACAGAATCATTAAAGAAAGGATGCAAAATGAGGGATAGAATGAAGTGTGAATGACAAAAATTAAAATATTTTTTTTATTATTTTAAATAATTAAATTGAATTGTTACATTGTCCTGCAGTGAGTTAGCGAGCAGTGAGTTGGCTGTAGCAAGTTGTCCGGTGGTGAGTTGGCCATGGTGAGTTGGCCACAGCTAGTTGGCTGCACCTACAGAAACTCCAAACTGAGTAAGAAAATTAAACATAGCCAAACTCTTGCAAGACCACAAATCTTACAAGAATTAAATATTATATGATGGTACTCTTCTCTTTCTTCTCCTAAAAAAGTGGCTAATCTCTGTTACAGAGTACTAGCATTACTTACTAATATGCTTGGGAAATTTTGAAAAGTCCATGTGTTTTATAAGTCAGCTGAGATGCAAAATATGAAGTCAATACTGTATTAGATTGTCCAATCTAAAGATAAGCGATTAAAAACTATAATCTTGACTGTCCTCCTTCAGTTGAATTCTGCAAAAAACAAAGCTCATATGTAAGAGGTTTGTTGACCTGAGCAACAAGAACTGCAATCATCTTAATGTACTAAAGCAGTGGTCCTCAACCTGTAGTCTGTGGACCCCTGGGGGGCCGCAATGTCGTCATAGGAGGTCTGCGAAGGCTTGAGGAAATGTTATGATCTTGAGTTAAGTCTT